TATTAAATTTGATGTAATTGTGAAATAGTACATTTTAACGTAAATGGACTAATTTTCTTGTGACACCACCGTAAGGATCTCTGAAAAAAATGTGGGTAGTGTTAAAGAAATAAATAAGAAGAATCTCTGGAACCCATAAAGATCCCATCATAAGGATCTCTGGAAAAATGTAATTAGTGTAAACTATTAAAAATTGTGTTTAATGGTAGTTATAGTTTGCAGATTTTAAAGTCATAGCAATTAATATTTTTTTTATTTCGGTATCGTTTATGGCAGTCAGAATTGGGATGTGGTTAATGATAATCCAATTATATTTGTGTTTTTAATTAGATCATCAGAATTTGTAATGAATGATGTGGAGAATTCTTTTAAGTGTTTCAGTAAACCTGAAGTCTATTTCTTTTATGAAGTTCTTAATGCCGTTGGTGACGAATTAGAATTGTGAAATATACAAAGTGCATAAAGGTTTGAAAACCTGTTGTTGTCTGTTGAAACTGAAATTTTAAGTCTGCAGTGTAATGCTCTGATTTTATTTCTGAGTACAATGAAACTTTTGGTTTCTTTTTTTAATTACCGTATTTGAAGGCATATAAGACACACTTTTTTTCCTAAATTTGGTCTCAAAAAAGTTACCCTGCGTCTTTATACATGAAGGACACAGGTTAACTTTCAATTCTGAATGCTATTTTTAGCCCGGATAAAGATCTAGACACACATAACTTTTTCTACATCTGCATGTGTGTGGCCTTCTCAATAAGGGTGCGTCTTAAATGCCAATGCATTCTTGTATGCCATCAAATACGGTAGTATTCAGAAATTCTTTTTCAAGAATGTTGTAATAAAAGACTTTTCAAATAATACTGAAATTATTAGTCGCCTTGTCTATTTTGGTGACTATGCATTTTTGTCGCAGTAGATTAATTTTACTAGCAAGTTCCTTTCTGTTATGGTTATATTGAAATCATTTGGCAAGTGAGAATGTTAAGTTTGAAGTTGTTAAAAACTGATGCTTTCCATTCTAAAAATGCTGTAGTGAACAAATTAGTTTTGTAGCTTGTAAAAAATATGAATGCGTTCAAGATATTTTTGAAGTTCTTACACAATTTTTTGTTAATTTTGAAAACTGGTTGAAATTTGATGCCTTATTGCAAAGCTGGGTCTTCTGCCATAAGTGAATCTCCAGTCATAATATGCTGATGGTGCTGATCAAGTAAAAAGCTATACTCTGGTAGTTTATACACTCAAGTAGTTTTGTCTTCTAATTCATGGTGGTTAGTTATTAAGTTACTTGTGGTTTTTGTAAATTTGAAACAGGGTATTGTTTCATAGTTATGATCAGGGAGTAGATGTAGATAGGCTTAAATATCTGATTAAGTATAAGTGAATAATAAACCGGATGATTAAAATTAATAGTCCAGTAAACTTTTTTAGTGAGAAATTGGCTTTTTTCCAATTTAAGCGTATAAAGGTCAATATCTAGGTCTTTTATAATTTGGTACCTTTATATTTTTATTGTAAGTAATTTAAGTATTTGCTATAAAATTTTATTATTGAAAGTGTGGAGTAATTTAAGAAGATTCTTTGTGAAAAACCGAGCTTGTATTAATATGTCAAAGTTATTTTAAAGCTGTTCAGTATTCAAAGTAGCAAAAAAGGGCTTAGCATTTTTATAAGTTCTTCCTCTTTTGCCTCTTAACGTTTTCTTACTGTAAATTTTAGTCTGACTGTAAGTAGTGGAATCTTTTTTACCAGTCATACTTTGTAAGTAGGAGTTAAGTCCGTATTGATAAAGATATTTATGTTGTAACATGTAGATACTTCTTTAAAAAGTCTTCTTTTTATGTTGGGTATGATATCCAAAATTGAGATTTTGATGTGGTGAAAATTATATAACGGAAAATGTTCAAATACTGCTGTTGTAGGTTCTTCTTTGTTAATAGTAGGTTGCTTTTGTTTAAACTTTTTAATGTGAGATTTGTGGGGTTTCTCTCTCTCTAGCCCCCCCCTTTTTTTTTTGTCTTGTCTCTCCTAAATGAGCTAAATTTCATTTATTACAGGTAATTTGGTAAATACAGTTGAAAGTCTTTAAAAGAATTGTTCGTGGTAGTCAGAAATTAGATTAAGCATGGGATTAAACTTAAAAGTTTTCCAGAATGAATTGTTAAGTTGGATAATTCTTATCTTATTTAATTGAGCTAAAAATTAAAGTGAAGAGATAGCTAGCCTACAGTATAGTTAGTTTTTCTGAAAGGAAAACTAAAAACCTGATTTCCTAGACAGTGATAATCCTAGACAATTTTATAATATTTGTTGTGCTAACAGCCGTTAACCTGCTTCCTCTGAAAAAACTACAAGTGGTATTAAAAATGTTTTGGTGTAAAATTCTTGTGCTAAAGTGTCAAAGGATTGAATTAAAGATTGAGTTCAAAAGGATTAGAAATTTTGATTATCTTAATGCCATAATATTGAGTGAAAATTTGAAGTAGTCAAAGTGGATATCTAAGCTTTTGGTACAGGAAGTTAAACTTGTTAAAGCAATGGTGTAATGATTATTGTTAAAGAAGCAATGGAAAAAATAATTAAATAATTATGCATTCATCATCCTTATTTAATATTTCAAACAGAACTTGGCAAACTGTAAATATTTAAAACATTAAACTGGATTGATTTTGATTAATGAGTGCTGAATAGCATTTCATTTCTCTCAACACTTAGGATACTCTTGACACTGTAAACTCACATTGTGATTCAAACTGAAAATGAGTCTAATATGGGACTCATTTTCAGTTTGAATCCTCTCACAGCCAGTAGAGTGACACAGCATAATGGCATGGTGGACAGGAGGCAATTGAGGAGTCCCTTTGGGAGTTGATCCCTCTCCTGCAGGAAGGCAGTTATCAACTCTAGGTTGGTTTTTGGACGGAGAGGGTGAGAGGAAATGGCCCTCCCAAGAGTATCCCAGACATACTGTATAGGGTTAAGGTCAGGAGATCTGGCTGGACAATCCATGTGTCAAATTTCCTCACTTCCCAGGTAATTGTTGATCAACTGAGCCTTATGTGGGCGAGTGTTATTGTCCATTAACAGGAACTCAGGATCAGTTGTGCCCCCAAAAAATAAAACTTAGGACTGTAAGATTTCCTTTCTGTACCTTATAGCAGTCAGATAGCCTTTGTCAAACACATGCATGAATGTGCAGCTGTCCATCATAAAGCCTGCCTAAACCATTGCACCTCCACCACCACCACCATAATGACCCTTTTCTCTGCTGAGGAGGGGTGATATCGTGTTCCAGGCTTCCTCCAGATACATGTAGGGCAAGAATGTTCAGGCTGACTATCGTCTCGTATGTAAAAAGCATAGTGCTGTGCTGAAATTTGGTTTAGGGCACATGTTGTCTGCATCATGCTACTTGTATGCTGCAGTGAGCGAGGATGCAAACAGTGGGTCTTCTAGCGCACAACACTAACTCATAAAGCCTATATGCAACTGTAGACTGGAAAACTCAGTAGCAGTATACAGCTCACATGAGAGCTGTGAAGCTATATCAGTACTGTGTCTGCTTCTCATTTTACCTGATAAGGAGAGAGATGGGTAAATGATACCTTACAAAATTTACCCTAACTCTTGTGAGAAATGCAGCAAATGCTGTGAAAGTGTAGGAGCACACAAATCAGCGAAAAGCTCTCATGTGCTAATCCCTTAGAGAATCACAGTTTTGCAGATATGCATGTAAACGCATTTGTATTCAACTCTGAATATTTGTATAATTCTTCAGTAGCATATAGTGCCTTTGGTTCAATACTTTTTGTAAAAATGGGCATAATTTGCAACTTCTCTTGATTGTATTTATAACTGAAAACAACTATCATTACAATTTGTAATACAAAAATTTGTTGGTCTTGGTCATTGTTGATAAAAATGCTTTGCACAGGCTGACTGATTAATGTTGCAGATGCTAATAGTTTTGTGCTCTGTTTAGTTTCTGATAATAAAAGACCTGATTGCTCGAATATGTCTGCCATTCTCTTCCATGAGTGACAGAAATTTCAGTCAGTTTCCCTTAAAAATCCTTAACAAAAGTATTGGAAAAGAAAGTAAATTCTGTAAAACACTAAAAAGTTAAAAACTTTGGTGAAACTGCATATAGTTGCAGTTAAATAACATTAAAACCTTAAATCAGCTTTTCCATTTTATTTAAGGGAAGGTCTTAACTTCTCAGAACAAGCATTTGATGACAGATTTAACTTCATTCATACTACCATTGATATAAAATATTCAGTACTTACATATTAATGGTAAAAGTGGTATTAATGGTAATTAATTTTACATATTACCTTGGTGCAGTTTGGTGTTTTTTATTTAAGAAAAATGTGATTTGGTGAATTTTTGGGTTGCAACTTATACTGGGTGTGGTTACATGAAAATTGTTATGAGTTAAACAACTTCTACTAAGGTAGTTGCAATAAAACTAAGTATCAAATATTCTTAGCTATTAAATAAATGACATGATTTTAAAGTACCAAAATATTGTGAGTTAAATGCGCTAAAACAAATTATATATAATTCTTTTTATAATTTCTCTTTACATTGCAAAATGCATTTTTTTTTTTTTTTTTTTTTTTTTTTTTTTTTAATTCAAGATAAATTTTGCTTTAGAATTGTATTTATCTAGTCATAGGGAGACATTTTGTACAAAGTTTTTTTTTTTAATTAGATCTGACTTGAAAGTCAGTTGTTAAAAATTCAAAATTGTACATTATTGATCAAAATAAAATAATAATAATTTATTCGTTTCCCATCCATTTTGCCCCTAATTTTTACTGTATGGAAATTTTGTACTTTACCTAGAATAGCTTTCCTACATTCTCTCTCATTTGCATTGTAAACAATTTATTTCTGTTCCCCCCTTTTTTTTTTGTTTATTTATGTATTGTTAAAATTGAAATCCTGCTTCGTGGTGAAAAGCATATTTCTATATAGTACTTTCCTTTTTGTAGTATATATTGGGAGTATGCAATGAGTGTCAATGTTGATGATATTGTATACCTACACTGTCACCAGAATGGTGAGTTTAGACATATTTCCTTACTTTTTTAGTAATTTGTGTAGTGTAGCTTGATTTATTATTCTGTTTTCCTTAGAAAGATCATTTAGTGGTGGGTAGGATGAGACTGATGAAAAGGGAAAAAAAATGTTGTAGGTAGTTAATGTACAGATTAATATATATATATATATATATATATATACGAGGTTGTTGGTAAGTTGAAAAATAAGTTTCCCCTGTCGACTGTGGTCAGAGTTGTGTATGAAAGTCAAAAAATAGAATGAGACATTAAAGATATGACATACCTTTATTTTTCCACATAGGTACCAAGTACATTGAGACATTTGTTATATCGCTTGATAAACTTCAAAAAGCCCTCCAGGAAAAAATCGGGGCTTTGCATATGAAAGAAGCGTTGAACGGCTATGGGCGAAAGGCGTCACAGCAGGAAAACGCGCAAGTCACCGATACACCATTGGGTAGAGGTCGCTGCAAATCAAGCAGATGGTGGCTGTTGCAGTTGCAGTGCCTGTGCAAAGCAGAGACCAGCCTCTCATTTGAGCCCCGGTAGGTATGGAGAGAAGGTGCGTTTTGAATTCGTGGTCAAAGGAGGAAGTGAGAGCGGTTATCTGCTATGAATGGGCACGTGGAGTATCAGGAACAGAAATTCATGACAGCCTCATGGAAGTCTATGGGCCAGGTGTGATGTCGAAGCAAATGGTGTGGAGATGGTGTCGCACATTCAGTGATGGACGTCAGCAAGTGGAAGACATACCGAGAGCTGGACGGATGTGCACGGCCACTACAGATGCAAATGTCAGGAAGGTGGATGACATGATTAGAGCGAACTGGCGTATCACCATCGATGAAGTAGCGGAAGAACTTGGAATCTCACATGAGCGAGCTTAAAACATCATCCACGACATTCTTCGATACAGAAAAGTGTCAGCACGATGGGTGCCCCGACAATTGACCTCGACAAACAAGGAACAATGCATGGGGGTCAGCCTGGAACATCTCGTGCGTTACCATGAAGATGGCAATGACTTTCTGTTTCGGATTGTGACGGGGGATGAAACGTGGGTCCACCATTTCACGCCAGAATCGAAGGCCGCATCTTTAGAGTGGAAACATCCGTCATCACCTGTCCGAAAGAAGCTCAAGACAATACCCTCTGCAGGTAAAGTGCTCCTCACAGTTTTCTGGGACGCCCAAGGAGTTTTGTTGCTGGACTTTTTGGAGGTTGGAACCATCAATGCTACGCGCTACTGTGACACCCTGTCGAAATTGAAAGAGGCGATTCGGAAAAAGCGGCCTGGCCTTCTCACATCTGGCGTTCTGCTGTTGGATGACAATGCCAGACCACATTCGGTGACGGCAATGCAAAACCATATTGCAACTCTTGGTTGCGAGCGCCTACACCATCCACCATACAGTCCTGATCTCGCGCCAAGCGACTTCCATCTGTTTCCGGCTTTGAAGAAAAATCTCGGGGGAAGGTGCTTTGGAAGCAATACTGAAGTGAAACAAGCCGTTCAATGCTTCTTCCATTTGCAAAGCCCTGATTTTTTCCTGGAGGGCTTTTTGAAGCTTATCAAGCGATATGACAAATGTCTCAATGTACTTGGTACCTATGTGGAAAAATAAAGGTATATCATATCTTTAATGTCTCATTCTATTTTTTGACTTTCATACATAACTCTGACCACAGTCGACAGAGGAAACTTATTTTTCAACTTACCTACGTAGAATGTACTAAGTAAGTTTTTAACTTCTATTATTTTCCTTTCTCATTTTGAATGTATTGGGTGTTTTAGGTTCTCATGTTCTTATTTCAAGTCTCAAGTGTGTTTATTCGCGACTGAATTATGGAGAAGAAAATATAATATTGTTATATGTTCAACATTCACCATTAGTACATGGTGAATGTCGATATTGACCGGTGTATGTCAGAAATAAGAGTATTTGGAAAATATTTCAGACATACACCAAGAGACTATGTGAATGTTGACATTCTCCAGATTTCTGTGTTTCACCGTAGCATATATATATATATTCGAGGGCCATCCAGGAAGTAGATTACGTTTCCGTCTGTGTCCGCTAGGGGCGGGGCTAGCACGGCCATCTTGGGGTCAGAGCGTTGCGCAGCTCAGTCTGCATCTAGCCGTGCTAGTGAGAGGTTCGTGCTGTGCTCCGTTCAGATACTGTGACGGTTTGAAATGTCTGCGTTAATTGAAAATCCTGCGAGGTGCGCTCAGTAATAAGGTTTCTGACTGCAAAAAACTGTAAAACCGATAGAAATCTATCGGCAGCTTCGTGAAGTGTATGGGGACAACATTATCACTGAAGGTGGAGTGCGTCAGTGGGTCATAAGATTTCAAAATGGCCGAACCAATGTTCACGACGAAGATCGAAGTGGGAGACCCAGCATAGTGACGACCGCCGAACTTCTTGAAAAAGTCGATGCTAAAGTCCGTGAAAATCGAAATTTCACAATAACGGAACTTTCTTTGAGTTTTCCACAAATTTCGCGAAGTTTGTTGCACGAAATCATCAGCGAAAAGCTTGGTTACCACAAGTTTTGTGCAAGATGGAAGGCAAGAAGAGGTAACGAAGTGGTTGAAGGCGCAGGCGGCCGAATTTTTCGACGAAGGAATTTCCAAGCTCGTACATCTCTACGATAAATGCCTTAATTTGTATGGTGACTATGTAGAAAAGTAGTATTTGAGTGTGGCTTTCATCTGTATATAATAAAATTTGTTTCCTATACTTTGTTTATTTTTTTATTCCAAAACGTAATCTACTTTCTGGATAGCCCTCGTATGTTTATACATATATGTATATTTTTCCCCCTTAAATGTATTAGGTTGTATACTTCCAATTATTTACTAAACTTAGTTAAACACTGTTTTAAATTTTTAGTGTAAATGAAGCCCTCTGCAGCTTCCTCTTTGTGGGTATGGGTGTGGCAATTCTGAGGTAGGATCATCTTGCTGAGGTGGGTGTCATAATCCCAAAGCCCAGTATCCTTCCTCTTTTTCATCACCCCCTCCTCTCTGCTATTACTTTTTCCTTTCTTTCTTCCTTGTGGTGTTTCTTTAGAGGATAGGGCTTATTGTGAAATATTGTTACAAATCTTTTGCCTTTGGCTTGCCATAGTGAGACCTACATGTTTGCTATGTGTGGAGGCCCATATGGCTAGAAAGTGGGTCCCAGTAGGTGAGTTCCCCAAAACACTGCTTTGGCCTTTCCTTTAATAAAAACAGAAAGCACTTAGCTGTCTCTGCTGGTGTTAATTGTCTGGTCACTAGTCCTCGTGTCAGTGGCTTGTAGAATAAATAAGCTTTTGAGAAAGCCAGCTGTGGGGGCTTCATTTTGCATATAGACACATCAAACCTTGTCACAGAAATCTGTGTTCATTTATTGAACTCTTATTGGTGGGTGGGCTTGCTACATCCAGGTTTTTCTCTTTTCAATGAATGTGGGTACCAGAAACCAGTTGTTAGTCATAGTCTTGGTATGAATATTGATGATTAGGATTATTCAGTTATGGCAAAGCACACAAGGGCTATCTGCCTAAAGGGAGAGATGCCTTTATGGAGAACTTTCTAAGGGCAACTGGCTCATATATATTTGTTACACATGGAGAAAACTACGAAAATGCCCATGCAGCCAGCCCGTTTGCAGGATTCGAACCTCAGACCGAACTACCAGTGTTCACCATCTTTACTGCTCGGCCACTGGTGGGCCCGAATATTGATGAATTGGTATGAATGCAGTAGTTTGAAGATAAAAGTATGTAGTTTAGAGGATGCAACTGAAACTCAAAATAGCCTTTGCTTTCTGATCATAACAAATGTTGCTGGTGAACAGAAAAAATATCACCTTTTCTTATCTACAGATACATCCAGTCATCTGATAGCAAAACTAAGAATAGGAAGCATCTTCATTCTTTTAATTTACTAATTTAATCTACATCAAAACCTCAGTCTGTATCACTTTTAGGTATGGAAAACATGGGAAATGCAAGTGTAAGTGTAACAGCTCATAATAGTGTAAATTTTTCTAGCGATGTAATCTCAGAGACGGACTTACTTTGGGTGTCTAAGGAAGAAACTGTAGCTGAGTTAATTAGTCAAAATGTCTGCAAAACTAGAGGAATCAAAACTCCTAGAGAGTTTCAACTAGTTGATACAAAACATCTTAAGGAAACATCTAGAGTTCTCGCATTCAGTACTCCCAATCCTCCAAAGTGTATAAAAGCTGGATACCTGCACTATGAGGTAAGACTATATATTCGGGATCCCATGCACTGTTTACAGTGCCAAAGTTATGGACATTCAAAGGCTTTTTATTGAAGAAACCTCACATGTGCCTGTTGTGTTTTGGCAGGTTATGAAAGAAATAGCTGCTTGGCTATTCCCTGCTGAATAAACTGCATGGAAGGACTCCCTACTTGCTCCTGATCATGTCCCAAGTAGAAAAACAGAAAGATATTCAGCATCTTAAAAGAGATAAAGATTTTTTGGGAGTTGTGTTTCATAGGAAGTTGATCTTTATTCCACATATTTTATACTTGTGAGAACCATGCTTTAAAATACTGAATCTTTTGAAAGGTCTGTCAAATACCACTTGAAATGCAGAATGTTGCTCAGTGCTTTTTATTTTCAGAGCTCTTATTTGATCCAAATATGATCCAAATTAAATCCTATCTGCCAAGTTCTATGGATATGTTCTGGAACTTTAGAACATCTGTGCAGAGCCTATATGTTTGCTGCTTCAGATCATCACTTCATTTCAGCAAAGAATTAATTGACGAACTTACAATGATGGATCTCCTCAATACAATTATATTTGATACTCAATACTGACTTAAAAGATCAGATCTCTTCAAAATATATGAAAGAAAATTTCAGCAAAATGAATTTAAAAATGAAGTAAAATTTCATTTAATTAATAATAAAATGTTTTAAAACTAACATCAGCTAGAATGATGTTGATCAAAGAAAAACCCAAGTTGATTCTAAGGGAAAAAACCACAGAAAATCAGCATGTGGTCCTTCTTTTTCAAGGATGAAAATAATATTTTGTGCCAAATTAATATTAATTATGCTTTTGAAAAAATAGAAGAAATCTTATGCCAGTTTATTTCATAATACTTAGAGGTTTTCTGTAAAACGAATGTTAAACTAAGTTGAATTTTCCCTGATTTCAAATTTCAAATTAGTCAGAGTATTTTTTAGTTGTATTAAGCCATTATTTGTAATTTTTATTGCTGAATTTTCATAATTACATGAAAGGCTTCCTTATTTTTAGTCTTTTTATTGACCTTTTTTTCTGATGTATGATTATATACTATATATATAATACACACCACACACCTAATATGTCTAATTTAGTATTTTCTAAACAGCTGATACAGGTGGCACAATAGTCTTAGTAGGACAAGATGGGGTTCAACAACCTCCAATACATTTTCCAAAAGGAGGGCATTTGTTAGCTTTTTTGTCGTGCTTGGAAAATGGCCTTCTTCCTCATGGACAAATGGATCCTCCATTTTGGTCCCAGCGTGGAAGGGGTAAGCACTTTATTGCTAAATAAGTAAGGTATGCAAAGAAAAAATTTCTGGTTTTTGTTTAAATTTTTTCTATTTATTTTAATAAAATTATACATGGTATTTGTTGAAGATAAAGTATTGCTTGAGATCAAAAAATTATTTTATTATCTTATTTTATTTTAAGGAAAAGTATTTCCAAAACTGCGCAGGAAAGGGCGAGGTTCACTCAAAAAACATTGCAAAGAATCTGAGAGTAACTTGGAAGAGGATATTGGAGCTTCAGATTATGTATTCAGAATAATTGTCTCTCTGAAGCCAGATTCTATATGTTAGTACCCCTTTATTTGTGTATTATTAAAAATAATTTATTTTTAAATACTCTTGATATATTGGTGTTTATGTATTACTGCATTGATTGCAATGTTGGTTTGTTACCCTTTGACTTGTTATTTTCTGCCAGTTATTGTATATTTAATATAGTTTAGAGGATTTGCAATAAGCTTTTATGTTTGTTTCCCTTGTAAAACAAAACTGAACTATTGAAGAGGCCTTAAAGTACTGATCTACTAAACTGAAATATTTTTTATGTACACTGTGGAAAAAAAAAAGGGGACAGTTCTATATCTCCGTTCTACTGGGCCGATTGACAAAATTCAAATTGTGTTTTTCATGTCGTGAAAGCACGACTTAGGATATATATTAGGTTTATATATAGCATTATTCTAACATTTAAATCTATTTAAAATATAATTATGTAGTTGCTCATCTTCCTCCAGATATTGCATCACTAGTGTGGGATTTACTTATGAAACCAGATCGTATTGATCCATATACAAAGCTCAAAACTGAGTTAATAAATCATTCAGAAGAATCTTCTCAGCAAGAAATTCGCCAATTATTATCTGGAGAGAAATTAGGTTCTTGAAAACCTTCCGATTTGCTTAGAAATATGAAACGTCAAGCAGAATCTTTGTTCCTGATGACTTAATGTTAGAATTATTCCTTCAATGTTTGCCTTCGACTGTTCAGTCTATTTTGGCAGTGGTTTACAATTTAACTGTAGATAAAGTTGCAAAAATTGCTGACAGAATTTTAGAAGTAAATCAAACCCCAGGGACTTGTGCCGTTTCTCGCACACTCGAACAGGCTTTTGAGGATATAGAAAAATTAAACAAACGTATTGATCGCATTTCTCTTTCTCGTGGTCGCTCGCCAAATCAGGGAGATCACAATAATGAAAGAAGCAATTAACAAAAATAACAATAATGAAAGAAGAAATTATTCTGTTTGCTGGTATCATAGACGTTTTGGGAAAAAGTGTAGAGAAGATAAATGTACAAAACCTTGTTCATGGCAGGGAAACGAAACCAGCAAAGAATAGAGGCGACTTATTCTTTGCCTGTTCATGTCGCCTGTTCGTTCGTGACCGTAGAACAAACCTTTCATTCTTGGTCGAACCGGCTCTGACGTGTCCTTACTTCCAGCAAATAATTCTCAAAAATTGAATTCTCCTCAACAAACACTTTTTGCTGCTAATTCTTCCACTATTCATGTTTATGGTCAAAAAACACTTTCTTTGGATTTCAAATTAAGACGACAGTTTACATGGACTTTTCTTATAGCAAATGTTAGTACACACATTCTTGGAGCAGATTTTCTCCATTTCTTTGAATGGTGCCGGATCTCAGAAAAAATGTCTCAAGATTTCTCCTCAACAAACACGCTGATCTCACTAAACAAAAAAATGGTCAAATTCAATAGCAAATTTAACAAATCAGCTTATCTCAAAACACATGTCTCAAAAAAATAGCTTTTGGCTGTTGAAAAATGCAGGCTTTTGAGGATATAGAAAAATTAAACAAACGTATTGATCGCATTTCTCTTTCTCGTGTTCGCTCGCCAAATCGGAGAGATCAACAATAATGAAAAGCAATTAACAAAATAACAATAAAAGAAGAAAATTATTTGTTTGCTGGTATCATAGACGTTTGGGAAAAAGTAGAGAAGTAAATGTACAAACCTTGTTCATGGCAGGAAAGGAAACCAGCAAAGAATAGAGGCGACTTATTCTTGCCTGTTCATGTGCCTGTTCGTTCGTGACCGTCGTAGAACAAACTTTCATTCTTGGTCGATACCGGCTCTGACGGATCCTTACGTCCAGCAAAATTCTCAAAATTGAATTCTCCTCAACCAACACTTTTTGCTGCTAATTCTTCCACTATTCATGTTTATGGTCAAAAAACACTTTCTTTGGATTTCAAATTAAGACGACAGTTTACATGGACTTTTCTTACAGCAAATGTTAGTACACCCATTCTTGGAGCAGATTTTTTCCATTTCTTTGAATTGGTGCCGGATCTCAGAAACAAATGTCTCAAAGATTTAAAAATGCAGTTTAAAACCGTCGGCTGTGTGAAAAATGCAGGCATGTATTCAGTAAAAACTGTGTTTAGTGATACACCATATCACAAAATTTAAAAAGAATTTCCTTCAATTACTAAATTACCAGATCCTAACCAACCTGTTAAACACAACACCGTTCATTATATCATAACTAAAGGTCCACCTGTGGTTGCAAAACCTCATCAGTTAGCTCCAGATCGCTTTAAAATAGCAAAACAGAATTTCAAACTATGATGCAATTGGCATGTGGAGACTTTGAGCAGAATTCTGCATCCCCACTTCACATGGTTCCAAAAAGGAAAGTCTGGAATGGAGACCTGTAGGAGATATTGAGTATTGAACACTCAAACAATAAAAGACAAATACCCTTCCATGCTTAGCCGATTTTACTGCTGCATTGCACCTACTAAAATTTTTAGTCATGTCGACTGATTAAGGCATGCATCAAATACCAATTAACCAGCCGACATCCACAAAACCGCCATATGCACACCATTTGGTTTATTCGAAAGTACCCGTGTGCAATTTGCTTATGCAATGCATCTGCGACTTTCAACGTTTTATAGATGAAGTCACACGGGATTTAGAAGGTGTTTAGGCTTTCGTCGATGACTTGCTCATAGCCTCTAAAGATTCTGAGGAACATTGCAGGCATATAAGAGCTTTATTTTCCAAACTTCAGGAATATGGACTTTGCATAAATGTTTCAAAATGTACCTTTGGTCAAACATCTATTGATTTCTTAGGTTTTCACCTTAGTGAAAACGGAATTGAACCTCTTCCTAACAAAGTCAAATGTATTTTAAATTTTCCTCAACCTACCACCATAATATGACTCTTACATAATTCTAATGATGTAACTGAAACTAAAACTGCCAATAATAATTTTACAGCAGTATTAATTATCCAATCAAATTGCATTGAGAAGCAAAACTAACTGAGTCTGTATTAAGATTTCATCCTAAACATAATGCACATGCTTGCCACTCTTCAATCAATCTCAACTGCTGTCTGCTGCTTCCTTCTTACTATGGAAGTTATCAGAAATGTAAACCTCTTGAAATAGGCACAAATAATGTACCACGTTGTTTGTGGCCACAACATGTTTACTGAATTAAAATGAAGATTTAATCTGCCACTTTACTATTCATTAGGGAGCAACCGAGCGGTAAAGTCGCTGAACACTGGTAGTTCGGTCCGAGGTTCGAATACTGCGGCTGGCTGCATGGGTGTTATCGTGGTTTTCCCCATGTGTAATACGTCTATACGAGCCAGTTTCCCTTAGAAAGTCTTCCATGAAGGCATTCCTTCCCTTAGGCAAATAGCCCTCAAGGCTTTGCCATAATTAAAAATCCTAAACTTAACCTATTCATTATGGGTTGGCATTCTATGTAGTCATATATATATGCATATATGGATCAGCTTACTGATGTATGGTCATAAATGTGAAAAGCCAAAATAAAGCTACAAATGATTTAAGAAGAAAATTTGTGGATGAATTTAATTTGTAAATGTACAAAGCACCCTAAATATATAATGTATATATATATGTTTTTTTTCTGATATGTATGTATATATATATATTTCCAAGTGGTAGAATTTTTGAGATGACCTGTCTGTATATACATATGTAATGCTTTTGAAGCATAGTTGTGATGGCCTAGTGGCAGACTGGAAAGACGAACAGATGACGCCGATGCAAAAATGAATTAGACAAATTCGCAATCTTTATTTCCACACATATAAAATTATCTCAATATATATTTATCCAATCATAATGAAATCCAATACATTTCTGTGATTGGATCATAATGAAATATGATAAATTTTCTATGTGTAATGGTTTTTAAAAAGAAATGATGTAGGCAGTTAAGCAAAGGTAAAGTGACACAGTGTTGACAGAGCAGCAGTTAGAGAAAGAAAGAATGATGTAATTAATTCGCCGGTGGTTTTCGCTGATGTAATTGTAGAGACAAGCTATGATTGGTTAATTTGAGGCTGTTATATAATCATAGAAAGATCTCGAATTTGGGAGAATGGAGATGAATTTAGGGGGAGAGCACCAAATCTAGAATCATAAATTTTGAGGTTGCAATTATTTTAAAAGCAACTATCGTATTTTGTTATATCTTACATACACACATATATATATATATGGAGAGAGAGAGAGCGAGAAGGACTTAAAGATTCTGAAGTTAAAAGTAAATTGAAGTTAACGCAAGGTTATTCCTCAATAATATTAATATTAGCAATCGTTTATAAGATGTTTAACCCAATATCCAAACATATTAAAATAAGAATTCATAGTAATACAAACTCTTAAAAAAAATTAAAATGCAAAAGGGCAAAAAATACAAGGTAATTAAAATATAAAAATAAAAATTAATCTCCATTTACTGAAACTCCAAGTCAGAACTCATCAGGGTAAAACGAATTAAAGCTTCATAAAAGTTGAGTTCTAGGCACAAGGCTCTGCCTCGATTTAGACATGAAATATTTCGAAATTATTTCTTTTTTGCAAATGAAGAGTTCATAAAATATTACATCAAAAAAAGCAGCTTTTTCCTTTTTGAAATATAGTAGAACTCCAATTATCTGAATCAACTGGGATCGGATCATATTCAGATAATTGAATTTTTCCAAAGAAAGGGTCAATGTACACTTTAATTAATTACTGTACGTATTGTATGTTGAAAATGGGAGGGAAAAACTCTTTTTAAACAAAGGAAGGTTAATAATTTAACCTCCTGAGCAGAGCCAGCTAAACATTTTTTCAAGGGTAAAGGTGCACCCTGTATACAATGCAAGATTATTTATTTAGCTATTGTGTGTGGGGGGTGGCTAATAAATTAAATAATACTAATGTGTTTGAAACGGTAACATTAAAAACCGCATATATATTATATATGTATAATTGCATATATAACATATAACACCATACATATAAACAACTTACTGTATATATATATGTATTTTATGCTATATTAAAAAAGTACTATTTCAAGTGAAAACTACAAAAAACTCTACAGTAATATTTAATTAAAACTTTGCATATCCACAAAGTGAAACATATATATAACGAAATTAAACATTAAAAATCAATTAAAATGGACATAATATTAAGTTTATAAATAAATATCTGCTCAAAAATTTATGGCATAAACTTTTCAAGCATATTTATAATTTAACTTTTCTTGCTTTTAAAGAAGGAAATTCATCAATAATTTGTTCAAAATCTATTTGATTACTTAACTCATGTTCTTTAGAGAGAATGGCCATGTTTGAAAGTTTTACTTGGCCTAGTGAAGATCTCATATAGTTCTTTGTTATTTTAAGTTTGCTAAAGCTTCTTTCGCCACTAATTACAATAACTGGCAATGTTAAAAAAAATTCTTAACGCTGCTTCCAAATTCGAATAGGACTGAACTAAATTATAATTGTGAATTATTTTTAAAAGTTCTAAGCTTAAGTCACAAGAAAGTTAATTAAAATTTATTGTTAAATGAAAATTACATAATGTTAAAATTGAAAAGATATAAAACAAAAAGTATGTAGCTGCTTTTGTGTTCCCAAGCAACATGAGTGTTATTTAGGCACAACATGAGTGTGAATACAAGCCAAAAACCTCCATTCATGCAGCTTGTTTATTGGAAAATTTTATACCAAAAAGAAAAAAAAAAAAGTCCAGTAACTAATAATATGGGGCACATTTCATTTTCAATCAATCTTGTTTATTCTTTGGATGCTTTACCAGAAGGCCTTTATGAAATTGCAAAACTCAGCAGTTATGTCCTGGTCTATGTTCAGTTAGTGGACTTTGGCAAGTTTGTTATGACTAAGTAAAGAGCTTGAATCAAACTAATGAGAGACAGCAAAGAACAACAACAAATTTTAATGTTAGAAAATATTATATAGTGTGAAAGCTCATGTCTTTTGAGAATAAATTAATGATATTAGTTTTTCTTTTTTTAGTCTGGATTGTTTATAAAACAAAATTCTGTTAATATCCATTGATGTATTCTGAAAATGCTCAAAAATCCGCTTCCACCTGAATATGGGCATCTGGAAGCCCAAATTTGGAATTTTTTTTATTATCTATTTCATATTTTGTAAAATTTTAATGAATTTTTGATTAACAAACTTGAGGATTTAAAGGCGAGTAATGCAAGCACCTACTGGGGGGTATATTTTTATCTTCACATGCGGAACTGTGTATCGAAAATTCAAAGATATGCTCCTTTTAAAATTTTTGCGATATGCTTGTTTGAACTGAATTTATGGTTTTAAATGCGAAAGAAATGATATTTATAAATAAAGCAGGGGTTGCCACGCTACCCTGGAAACCGGGAGAGAACCGGGAAAGTCAGGGAATTCGAAAATTGACCAAAAATTCAGGCGAAAGTGGGAAATTTAAGTATTTTTGTCAAAATCTGAAAAGTAGGAAGTTCATACATAATCGCCAAAAAAGGATTTTGCGCCGACGTCGGAAGAGATAACTTTTTTGGCGAATTGCCCATCAGTGAGTGTCTGCTGGCATAGAGCCAATTTTCGCAGCTCCAATTTGATACCTTTTAGAAAGCAAAAGAAGCAAGTTTCCCGCAACTTTTGGTTTCCAGTATTCTCGAGAATCGCATGTGCAGTGCATGAACTAAAGAAAGTCTGTTCTCGTGTAAACAAAATGGGTTTTAATCTTAGTATACGTCCATGGAGGTTACAATCAAAGAATATGTATGTAAAGGAGGAAAACCTCTCTGCCAACAGACGTGCTAGTTCCATATAGAGGGAACAGCTGTGCATGCGTGATGATCGCCGCCCAAGCTGGAACGGGTCGAAGTTCGAGGTCAGTTAGCAAAAGTTCCTAATGAAGATCTTTTTAAAATTTCTTTAACCGTTGCTAAAAGACGTGCCCACGCACGTTCGGATGTTGTCTCAAACTGCGAGGACGTGAACACCACGTCGATAAGCATTTATCGCAAAATGGTGCACACGTCGCCTACAACGAGATTGTTTATTTCTCGAGTTACATCTCTGGATGCACTCGCAGATGCGGAGCGGCCGTAAATGAGACACTTTACCACTTGCTATATTGTAGCGCACGGCACAAGAAAATATTTTTGGCGCAAGTAAATTAATTCATAGGTTAGAATTTTCAGGGGGGGATACGAAAATCCGTTTTAAAATTTTGCGAAATCCAAGAAGAAACGTCTATGATAAAACGTTCTTCTTGGATTTCGCAATATTAAAACGGATTTCGTAGCTTTCTTTTTGTCAAAGAACGTTTCTTCTTAAACACGTTCTCAATTTCCGGTACAATCGCGGGAGGGAAATTCTGGCCGCCCAGGTTCCGTCGCCAAATCCCTTGCAAATTTTCCCTCCGCATTTCGGGTATAGCATTTACTGGTATGGAAAATTTTCTCTTTACATTAGAGATTCTTTGCATAGACGTTTTTGGTTAAAATAATCTCCATGTATGGATTGGAACATGATGATGCGCAGTAAACGGGTCATTTGGTCTTGGCGACAATTTTCAAAATCGTGCAAAGCCTAACGGTATACTAGAATTTACCGCAAAATCTTTTAAAACTTTTCTTTTTAATAAATACCTTGCATTCAGTAAAATAAAAATAGTAATCTGTCATCTAAGGCTAACACGTAATATAACTATATTCGCTAAAATATCGTTGATGTTGTAATTAATTTTAAGTAATTATCTTTATTTTTGTTATCGTATAATTTAATGATGCTTCTTCCCTCTTAAATTTATTAATATTAGTAAATAATATTTCTAAAATTTCAGGAAATTTCTCTGGTATAATCTTGAAATTAATTCTAGCAGTATGATGACATACCATCACGAAATTTAATGCACATATTTTTTTCTTATGTATGCTGCGAACTAAATATAAAATACCTCAATTTATTAAATAGATTCTTGTTTCGTTTAGCTGCAGAATGTTTGCAAAAAAGCCTTATTTTATTCCAGATTGGGAAGATTCTAATCTCAATCTTCAATGGAGGAAACACAACTATTTTAATTAATTGTGTTCAAGTGTTTCAAGTGTTAAGGTGCTTTTAAGAACATACCTCACACAAATTAAATTTACCTAAAATCTAACCTAACTATTTAGCATTGCGTGTGATTTATAAGGACCGGATTAGCCTCGTGTTGAACTGGTGATGTCATGAGTAATAATTAAATAAACATACATTTGTTATCCAATGTATAGATCTTAAATTTTATTAAGTTTCTAAGTGGAAAAGTAAACAAAATTATCAAACAAAGTATACCAAGAATAATTAAGAATAAATGTCCTCTGGGATTTATTGAATAATTAAGTGAATTTGCTACACAATACAAGTAATACCATAATTTACCTCTTAGCGTAGCCAACGTACATTACGCGGATAGATGGAATTTCTTGAAAGCACCTGGAAAACCTGAAAAGTCAGGAATTTCATTCTCCTGTTTGAGTGGCAACCCTGATAAAGGTAACACACAAAACGTTAAAATAAGCCCTTTTGGTCATAATTTAAAATCTGAAACCTTTCAGATTTTATTTTTATTTTTTTGCACAGAGTACATGTATGTATGGGCAATTGAATAAACCGCTTGTAATGTACGTTTGCTTCAAAAAGGTAAGATATTGATTCTTTTAACAGTAAGATACTTGTTTTTAGATCGTTCAGTATTAGGTGAAATCAAGTAGAGTGAGGTTTAGGTATTTTGAAATGCTAAATATTTAAGTATTTTAGGTTCAGTTTGTTCATTTTCTATCCTGAAAACAAAGAATTGATATTCTCTTCACAATCATTAAACAGTATGCTTCATCTGTATAACACGTAAGTAACTGGATTCTTCTGTACCTTTGAATATTAGTAAAAAAAATTCACCTGATGGTATATATATATATATGCATAGAAATTCACAGTAACACAAAATACCAACATTTAATGTTGGATACGTTGTATACTCTAATAAAAGATATCATTGTTAAAAATTTTATAACTGTAGTGATAGATTCCCAGGAGAAAAATGTCTAAAGATGTCCAAATTATTTTTAACTGAATTTAAATTTGGAAAAAATGTAACCATTGGTATTGGTTTCACTGAAGAATTTTCATTTTGAGGATAACTTGGAGTAGTCTGTCATTTACAAAGAATTATCTCAAGTTAAATTTTGCCTAAAATTAAAGTTGACATGCTTCTCTGTCATCCATTAATTGTAATCATATGAATTGCAATGTATATTTCCTAAAACTTTTTCTTTATTCTAGCTCAAGAAATGTTGGATCCAAAAATTACACATGATTCTATTTCATGGCAAACTAAAGATACTACCTGTGCTAGTGCCAAAAATTTAATTCATCATTCTTCTTCTTCTACAACATCTACTTCAAGTTCTCGATCACTAACAGAAGAAAATAGTATTGACATAGGAAAACAAATTTGTTCTGAATTTAAAGATCATGGGCCTCCTGCTGGGTAATGTTTATTTCAAATTAATCTCCAATGTATAAAGTGAGAATAATTTCATTGATATATGTGTGCAACAGAATTTCAGTGATATGCAACTGCTTAATTTATGAATGCTTGTAATCCATACTCATTTTTGGACATCAACAAACCTTTGGTTTTTTAAAAAATTCAGCATGCCAAATTTAAAGGCATTTTTTTCTCATATGTACATGCTAATAAACTTTTTACAAAAGTACACTGAATTTATGACATGTTAGTTGATGTTATGTTACGTAAGGCGTTACGTTCGAACAATGGCTAGCTCAGAAGGGATTCGTAAGTCATCTACCCGATGAATTAACAGCTATCTTGTCATAAATGGAGCACTTCATTTAAACTTAAGCAAAAAGATTTATTTACACATAAAGACAAGTTAAAAGAATGTAAAATATTTATCTATTTATCTATCAGCCACATCATGCAAACATCGTGCTTAACTAAACTAAACCGGAACTGTTCTGTTTTCCTCTGGCGTCCCATGACGTCAGTCTCTATCTGGCTTTTGATTCGTTGGCTTAGTGATGCCATTCCCAACATCTCCCCCCTTTGAGTTGCTGGATAGCTACTCAAAACATTCAAGTCTATCAAGTTCAGTCTAAGTGGCATCTTAACAGTTCTACAGCTCGTGTCTTTATAGTCTTAGAACTGTCACATACATCGGAAACATTAGTGGGGTCCGGAGATCGGGGTGACCCAGAAATTTTCTGAATGATGAGATTTAGTTTTGTATCGTCGACATTTAATAACAGTCCTTCAGAACAGTACGTATCGCTCTTCTTCCTCTGGTAATCCAGTACTTTTTCATGATGCAATATACTTAGTAATATCTGGGTTTCCAGCATGACAGTTTCTTCGGTCGGACCTTGAAAATATTCAATCAGTCTTTAAGTAAAGATACATTTATCGGGAAGAAGAATAGGTGAAATGAAGAAAAATTTATCTAATGCGTTCAGTGATTCGAGTTTAAACTCTGATAATTCCGTTCACATCTTTGAAAACTTATAAGTTCTGAATAGAGGTCACTTGAAAAAATTGAGCTTGCACATTTACGAATAAGCAGAATTTCAGCCATTTTCAATCTCCTGCAAGTTTAGAAGTTCTCCTCCCCCCCGTCTAGTATCCATGACGGCGATCTTATATTACTGATAAATCTCAATATCCATGCAACCATTCTAACTATTGAATGGAAATTTGAGAATTTAATGGCCATACCACGGGACTTTCTCCTTCTGACAAATTAATATTACATAATCTAAACCTTTCTCCTTTCAAATGTTATTTCGGGTGTTCTCTGTTGTTCAATATCTCGGTATCAGGCCATTGTCTGTGCTTGCAACAACCATGCCGGGCCTTTCCACCAGCAAGGATTCTAATAATTCTTAGGAGAACACCCTCGTGAAATCAGATGAGCGGGATTCATTTTCCCTGGCACATGTTGCCATTCATTATTTAGGAAATACATTATTTATTTCTTTTAGTCTGTGCAAGACAAAAACTGTCCAATCGCCATGTTCTTTTAACCATTATAAAGCTACCCTACAGTCGCTCCAAAATATTGTTTTAATCTCATGGCATTTAAAGCCTGCTTCACTGAATATGCCAACTGGCACCCAATGCAGCAAGCCATTAACTAACCTAGGGATCGTTACTTTCTTCAAAGGTTCAACTCTGGTTTTTGATCTAACAAAGTAAATTTTTTACCCCTTGAGAGGTTCTCGTTCTAAAAAAAAATACAGGTGGCATATGCCTCTTTGCACGCATCTACGAAAAATGCATGTCAGTGGAATCATTATTTCAACATAACGTGAGATTTCGATATCTCTTAATGCATCTATTTCTCTAAACCATTTTTAAAAGACATTGAATACTATCTGGTAAGGGAGTATCCCACTTTAGATTTTAAATTCACGTTTCCTGCAGTAAAAGCTTAGGTGGTAAGATTGCAGGACTCAGCAGACCTATTGGATCATATATTTTGTGAACTGTAGCAAAATGATTCTCTTAGTAAATTCTGATCCTCACTTACAAGATTAAATTTAAATTACACTTAAGAGTGTCCTTATCAAGATCCCACAAATTCCCAATACTTCGTGACACAGTACTATTAGAAACATACTTACATTTTAATTACTCTCCCAGTTTCTTAAGTTAAAGCAACCCGTGACAAAATATTTTGCATTTACAATAAAATTCCTGCTCCTCAATATTTGCAACACCAGAAACACAATATCTACGTAAAAAGAATGTTTCAGTTTTTGTGCTATAGCATCAAATTCAGATGGTACATTATCTAATAAATGTGTAATTGAGGTTGCTAAAAAAAATGGACTCGACTTTAACCCAAATACTACTCTGCGATGTCGGGGTAAACAATCTGTTCACTCTCGGACGGATATAAAAAAACCGCCAAGAATCTCTATGTTGAGGGGCTATATTACTTAGCATCAGAAATGCTTTCTCAATATCTGAAGATAATCCTATTGGATGAATTCGAAACCTATTAAGTATCTCTGGAATATTTTCTAGTAATTCGGATCCTTATACAAAAGGTCATTCAAAAGCATTTACCACTTCTCGGGCTGACGCGTCAAAGACAGTCTGATTTTTTTGTAGTGGTACTGTCCTTAATTACTGGCCGATGAGGTAAAATGTCCCGTCTCAATATTATCAGTTACCTTTTCAATTATATTCAATTTCTCCATTCCCGGAAAATCGTAGTATATTCTTCTAAAAATGCTTTATCTTGTGCTCGCTGCACATCCTTTATTGCCGCTTCCAAGTTAAATCTTTATTTGCGGCAAATCGGCCACAATCAGATTCAAAAGGTAAAACAAAGTTCATATCTAACCGTCTGAAAGAATTTTCACATTATTTTTAAAACTCTTCCAAAAACTCTAGAATGTTCTAATTCTTTCTATTATTTTCAGTGGGATCTGAAATACCTATGGATTCTAAAGACATAAATCTTTTATCGAATAATTACTAACATACACGAAATTGCATTCAAAAACAGTATCATCATTGCTATTTCCAAATGACTCATGTTTCCCAGTTAACACATGTCCTAACAAGTGTCAATCAAAAATAACCTGACTCCAACCGACAGATTTATTAGTAAATAAAAACTGCCCACAATATCTGCTCCAAAAGCAGAACCGATCTCACGATCAGAAGAACCCAAATCAGACAACTTGACGCCTCTATCTTTCAGTTCATTAAGAATTTTACTATCGTTCACTTTTGGCACTGTTGCCACAAATTTTGCTCTCGGAAAGTGCTTCGATTTGAAAAGAGAAAGTTTTCATCTAATGCCGAAATCAACAAATTATAAACATCGTGAACCGTTGTTCGCGTTTCTCTTCCACCGAATAACGAATGCTTCAATTTAATTTGCCTTAATGGTTTTAAATTTAAATTCTCTACTAATTTTTTACTGACAAACGAATGCTGAGAACCTGTATCCAGTAATGTGCGTACTTTAAGCTCAACATTCTTAAATTTAATTTTAACTATTAGAGTCATTAAAAAACATTTTCTATTTTACAGTTATTAGTTAATGTACTGGTTTCAGTTTACGTCCTTTTAGACTTTTCATTTGCGCCTTTTTCTTGGCGATTGGGACACATTAAAGAATGGTGATTTTTATTACAGTACATGCAAGAATTTTTTACTCGACATGTTTTAAAAGTGTGTCCAAATCTGAAAAATCCAAAACAGGCCCCTTTTTTAATTAATATATTTTCTTAGCTTCTAATGTCCATTTTCTAGCAGAAAAACATTCTTTAGTTGGGTGCCGTTTTACATAAAAGAGACAGTTAAAATTACATTACCTGGGCTCTCAGAATTTGATGTACTTACTAACGCAGCTGCGGTGGCGAAATCTAATTTTATTTAGTGATCCTTTTTCTTAAAATATGATTGAACCAAACCCAGTGCGCGGCTAACACAACCATCTCTTCTCTTTCACTTCTTGTTTCAGAAAATTCATCAAATTTTCAAGGCATCGGTCATCAGGCTGAGTGCTTCTTTTAAATTTCTGTTTCTCTCCCAAGCATTAATAATTCTTCGGGCAGGCAGGATTCAACTAAAGGCGTTAAGAATCACCATACTTCTCTTGCGTTCTTCCAAGACTTTCTAAAGCTCTAATCTTGGTTTCTAAATCATCGTAGAGAGTGGGAAGATCCGTCTTTCACACGTCCACCGCTTGCATTACGCATAACCATGCTTAGAAGATCTCTGACGTATATCTGTACAAGTAAATCTTCTCTTTCCAAACCTCTCTCGAAGCTGGGCGATTGCTTTCGGATAATTCGACGCCGTTGCCGGAAAGCTCTCCACTACCCGTGCGGCTTTGGACTGAGGAACAACTGCTTGCAGAGGTACTGGAATTTATCTTCATCTGGAATCGTCGGATCTTCATGGATCTTCGAAAACTGGCTCTTAAAACGTCAAAAATTCTTTTGCTTCGCCGTTTGAATTTCTTTAGTTCGATCTTCGGCAGTTTAAATTTGCGCTTCTTGGTAATTCAGTAGGTAAAGGATTCTTTCAACAGCTTTTCGATTTGAGAACACAGTTCAAAATATTTATCTCTATAAGGCTCAGAAGAATAAAATCTTCTTCATATAGCTTTTCAGCTTCTTTTAAATTGGAGAATTAGCGACGTTACTTCCTTTTGGCAAATTTCAAGTCGATTAAACTTGTCCCTAAGCTGTTGTTCCAGAATCGAAAGCAGCTTCAAATCAGGAATATCTGATTTTCAGTTTCTGCATCAATTTTGTTTGCACATGTGGTAAAGGAAGTTCTTAGACATTTCTTTCTGTCTTCAGCTGTGTAAGCTCCATTTTCAATTTATTTTAGCTGTTATCGCGCCCACGTCTTGGCGCCACAATGTTATGTACGTAAGGCGTTACGTTCGAACAATGGCTAGCTCAGAAGGGATTCGTAAAGTCATCTACCCGATGAATTAA